TCCTATATGGAAGTCGTTGATTGCAGGTTTCCATGTGGTTTCTATGTTATGATGTGACAAGTAATGCTATGAAAACAATTGTCAGTGTGCGAATAAAGTTTATATTAATTATGTTAAGCGAATATTTAACTAGATATCAATTTTTCAGGATTTAAAACATGCACTAACTGAAGATTGCATTTTAAAGGCACAGCATGCAGTTTTCATCACAAGAGGGTGCATATTCAAAACAAACAAAGGCGTAGTTTGATGACTCCATGGCTGAGTCTGGAATCATGGGAGTGGAACAAAACAAGGGTCGGAAAACAGGGCAAGACTAAACAATAAAATGCTTTGTAGTGTCACAATAAACAAGACTCAGCAATGTGTGTGAGGTATGTGTATAGTCTATAAAATAAGTTTTCATGAGCCACAGCTGTGTGCAAGTAATCAGGGGTAATTAGGAACTGGTGTGTGAGTGAGGTGCCTGATGGGAAATGTAGTTTGGTGGCAGAATTGTAGTTTGGGTGATAGATGTTTTCCAGTGATCTGCAAGGGCTAGATTGCTGGCTATCATGACAATATGACACTGCTCTATTATTTTTTGGATTTATTAATGAAAATGTCTTACACATAAGGATTGTACTTTTAAAACTAAAAATTCAACAAAAACATTGACTTCCATAGTATTTGTTTTTGTTCCTACTACGGAAGTCCATGGTTACAGGTGTTTAACTTTATTAAAAAATATTTTATTTAGAGTTCAACAGAGAAAAATTAAAGGTTTGCAACCACTTGAAGGTGAGTAAATAGTAAATAAGTTTACATTTATGGGTGAACTATGCCTTTAACTTCTGCTGTCACATATGATGTAGGTGTCCCGTTGATTAAAATGTGATCAAAACAGGTCCGATTGTGATTTTGGAATTCAATGTATTTCTGAATTCAAACTGACACTTTCCACACCCTCAGAAAGATTTCTTAATCAAACCTATCCATCAGTCGCTCCGTTGGAGCTTTCTCCACAGTGGAACAGCTTCAGTAAATCAGTTTGAGCTACTGGGCAATGTCACTTGATCCAGTTAATATTCATGAGCAAAGAGGTGAGATATTCCCTTTTGTGCATGCCATTTTGATGATGCATGTGTGACGCTAGCAAATTTTAGTGTCATTCTCAGATTATTTAGTGCACTTACATTATTTTGGTATGGTCAGCATAAGCATGTCATTAAGTATAGCTTAATATCTAAAGGAAATGTGAAATAATTGAGCTTACAGTCTTATTTCTAAAAGCATCTCCATCTGACAATATTTTTGCACTCTATGAATGATAACTTTAATGATTATCGATTTGTAAGACTCACAATTCTGAAAAAAAATCCTATTTTTTATTCAGTGACAAAAACGAACTTACTTTAAATCTTCATTTGCAATTAAGCAAATTGTAATGGTTAATGATTAATTTGTGAGATGTTAAAGAGATAGTAACCCCCCACCCCCTTCCCCGAAAAAAAAATAATAAAAATGTACTCACTATTTATTCACCCTCATCTTTTTAGTTTCTTTCTTCTATTGAACACTACTGAAGATATTTTGAAGAAAGCTGAACACCTGTAACCATTGACTTCCATAGTAGAAAAAACAAATACTATAGAAGTCAATGGTTACCGGCTTCTAACATTCTTCAAATTCTTTTCTTTTGTGTTTAACAGAATAAACTATTAAAGATTTCAAACAAGTACAGGGTAAGTTGCAGAATTTCCATATTTTGGTGAACTACTTCATTTTTGGGTGAAATTACCTTCCCAAAACAAACACTATGGAAGTCATTGGTTACAGGTTTCCAACATTTTTCAAAATCTCTTCTTTTGTGTTTAACACAATAAAGAAACCAAAAAAGTTTCAAACAAGTAAAGGGTGAGTAAATCACAGAATACATTTTTTGGGGTGAAATTACCTTTCAAACACAAGTACTATGGAAATCAATGGTTACAGGTTTCTAACATTTTTCAAAATATCTTTTTTTGGTGTTTAACAAAAAAAAAAAAAGAAACTAATGATTGTTTTAAACATTTTAAGTAAAGGTTGAGTAAATTCAAAATTGAAATTTTTGAATGAACTGTATCCCTCTAACTGACAAATCTAATAATAAAAAAGTCTGAACTCATGACTCAAAAAGGTCACAGTTACCTTATGTTACCCATAATTGTTGTATTCAGTGGCAAAAACACTTTCATAATATCTGTATCAGCATCAACACCAATGGACAATGAATGTATTGTTATAGTTGTGTGTGTGTGTGTGTGTGTGTGTGTGTGTGTGTGTGTGTGTGTGTGTGTGTGTGTGTGTGTGTGTGTGTGTTGTTGCAAATTTGGCTTATCTACAGTAATTGATACATAAGCTTGGAAAACAGGACAGGAGCTGTACTTGACTGGAAATAGCTGCCCAGAGGCATTATCTAAATGTCACCAAGTGCCAAAAAAATAACAAACTTTTTACTATACAAGAGAAAAATTGAGCTGACTATGGTATTTAATCCAAGGATATGCTTGGAATCAAATCCATCTGAAACCAAAAAAAAAAAAACTTCTCTTTAGGGCATTCTAGCTAAATGATATTTAAAATTCTGTCAGAACTTGCATGCAGCACAGTAAGAACAATACTGGTCATCTTACCCAGAACAGAGAGGTATGCTTTGGCTTCTGTGCTCTTTTGACTGCTGTTTCTGAGCGTGGCCTCGCACACGTACAGACCGCCGTCTGCTGAAGTGGGGTTACTGATGACCAGCCTGCGACCGAACGAGTCCACTCCTGCTGTTAGTCTCACCCCATTACGCTTCCAGAACACCTGCAGCCTGTCAAGAGATCTGCTCCACACAAACACACACACAAACACTGCACATTAACCGCCATACTGACATTAATGCTCATGCCAAGGACTATAACGAGCACAGCAATTAGCTATCTGTTAAATAAGCAAGAAAAAAAAATACAATATATGGTGAATAAAGTGTGTGGGCAGCTCTAATCTCATCGAAGTCTAATTTTAATGTATGAAAGAACAAAAATAAATGTCAGAAAAAATACTGTCACATATTATTAGGGGGCAAGCACTATATGTTTATAGGTACCTATTATATCCATTAGTGTTCTTCTGTTATAGCAGCTCTATTAAGTCTATAGCGGCTCATATAATATGTTGTGCAATTGATTAACCATGTCAGTTTTAATTACTCTAGTGCCACCAACTGTCTAAATCAGCTTTTTTTTTGTTTCTCAAATAAAGAGCAAATTAATTTTGAAAAGTTGACATTAGGTTATTTCCAGAACACTTAAAAATTGTTACATCTCAATACATCCGTTGCTATATTTCTGCAAAGCTATGACATCTCGACACCAAATTGTCGGTGCGTTCCAAATGAGAAATATTGTGAAGGCAGTGTTGTCAGATATGGCTGACTTTTTTTCAGCCCAAAAGCTGTCAAAAACCTGCCTAAGCGCACAAAAATGCCCAAAATATCAGATTAACATTTTATTTGAAGGTGCGGTATGTAAGTTTGACACTCCGAGGTTGAACTATTGCATTCCAGGATCAAAACAAACACAAGCACATGTTGCCAGATTGATGACCATCAGCAACTATCGAGCCTAAAGGCGGTTCCAAATAAAAGCAACGGCACGCGATAGAAGGAATATTTTCCATATTAAAAGGAGTCAACATCTGAAATTTATATTTTAGAAACGGCTTCAATTTATCAGGTAAACAACAGAATGCACTGATTTAGGGTACACCTCATGTGCGTTATTCAGTAAGCTGGGAAAAAAAAAGACAGCGTTCCGGCACGTAACGCCCATTTTCAAAGCAGAATATCTGACTTCAGCATTGTTTTTCAGATAAACAAGTTTGTTCACTTGGCATGTTTCTGCAAACATATTATGGTGTTTTTATGTTTTACAAGAGTATTAATATACAAAAAAAAAAAAAAAACGTACATACAGAACCTTTAATTTTAATTTATTTAAATTGAAATTAACCGTTACTTTAACTGTCAGAATTTTAACCATACAGCAACCAACACCAGCATGCACAGAACCACGACATAACCGGATCACATCGAAGTACCAGCACCCACACGTGCACTTAATGCTGTGTAGATCGCACTACCTACCTTATTAGAGTATTTTTTACTTTCGAAATGGGGTATAAATTCCTCCCATTTGGTGTTTTAAATTATCTTGAACATTATTAGGTGCTGCTTGTCAATCAGACTATGCTTCTGTTTGTTCTTGCTGTCAATTGCGGAAAGAAAATGATAGAAAAAAGTGTCATGGTAAACGCTGCGTGTGCTGCAGGCGCTCTGTGATGCGCATGCACACAAATGGGAGTCAGACTTTGATACATCTTTCCTTCACCTCCTTTTGTGGGTGGGCCTATGTGGTTTGCGCTATGCACTGGTACCTGCTAACTCAATGGAGAAGCACACAGTTGTTTTGTTAAATAAGTTTCATATAAAATTTACGTTTCAAAACTGCTCAAATTTTGTCAACCTGCCAATGCCACTTTTTACCTGCAAAATCAAATCCAAAACCTCCAAATCTGGCAACACTGTCTGAAGGGCACCTTGGAGGCAAAACAAACATGGCTGCCATATTGAAGTGTTGTTCCAAATTGAAGTGTTAAAACTGGCCACTTAAAAATGGCCTTTCAGAATGAAGGATTTTGAAGTATACAACTAATGGACACTTAAGGCCTCCATGATCTTTTGCTTTTGGGAAGTTGTTTGGTGTTGCACACTGCGTTCCATTTGGAAGGGCTCATCCCTATGGTTCGGGACAGTATGCTTTGATAATAGTGGCACCTACTGGTCAATATGAGACTAGCGCCACCTATCAGTTAAACGTAATAAGCAATTATATTATTGCTTATTCCACAGGTGTCAAAGCCAGTTCCTGGAGGGCGGCAACCTTGCACAGTTTAGTTCCAACCCTGCTTCAACACACTTACCTGTGGGTTTCAAACAAGCCTGAAGGACTCAATAAGTTTGATCAGGTGTGTTTAATTAGGGTTGGAACTAAACTGCAGAGCTCCAGGAACTGGTTTTGACACCTGTGGCTTATTGTACTATTGGGCTACCTATATGCCTAAAGACTCAATGCACATAGTGCTTAAGCCCGTTATTGCTGCTTGCAGCTATATACAACTAAATCACTTGATTTTTTTTGTCAAATGCCATAGTAATTGTGACATAACTAAATAATAAAGGCTAATTTAAAAAAAAAAAAAGTATATTTAAAGGGATAGTTGACACAAAAATGAATATTCTGTCATCATTTATTCACCCTTCATTTATTTAAAACCCATTTGAGTGTCTTCCTTTGTTGAACACAAAAGAAGATGTTTTGAAAGATGCTGGTTGCTGGGACCAAATGACTTCTAAAGTACTTTACTTTCGTAGTATGGAAGTCAATTGGTCTTATCAACCAGCATTCTTCAAAATATCTTCTTTTGTGTTCAACAGAAGAAAGAAACCCATTAAGGTTTGAAACCACCCTTTAAATTACATGCTAATCCGGCTTTACATTGTACAGTATGTCAGCACACATTTTATATATATGTACCAAACTGATCAAATCTAAACATTAACAAATGCATAACAGAGTCAAAGCCATCATGTTTTACAAGCAAGAAAAGGGAAATAACAGACTACCAGGCTAACAATTCTGACTAATGCAAATGACGTCAACAGTGTGACAGATAACAAAAGCAAGATAACAATGACAAACATCTCAGAAATGACTGAGAAGCCCTGTTTTCACCGGACCCCTGCCAGTGAGTCACAGCCATCGGGACGACCCACCTTGCATTAGCGACGCACTCAAGAGTGGCTTCACTCGCCCCCGCAACCACAGATGTGTTCTTAGGTGCAATCACTATCACTGGGGCAACCAATTCAGCTGGGGCAATAACGTCTGCTATGAAGAGAGACAGGGAAAAGAACGGTTAAAAAAAATGAGACAGAGAGAGAGAGACGGCTGATTATTGGCACAATCAATCAGGTTAATAGACTGAGCATCATGGGGGAGATAAGGTTTTGTGATGAGGTGCTAAGATTTTTTTTTTTTTTCGCTTGTCTTGCTTTCTTCTTTTTCTTCTCTCCCTCAATCATTGCGTTCTTTAAAAAAAAACATAATACATGCAGACGAAAGTCAAATGACTATCTTCGGTTGACAGATGATGGAGAAGGGAAAGAAAGAGCTGGAGATGGAGGAAGATAGGTGAGTGGCGAAAATGACATGTGATTGCATCTTTTAAAGGAATAGTTCAGCCAAAAAAATGAAAATTATGTCATTTACTTCTCCTTGTGTCATTGCGTGCAATTACACCGAATGAGAAATGGAGCTTACAATCGGAGGAAAAAAAGATGGAAAGGCACTATAAAAGTTTCATAAGAGATGCACATGACTCTTGCAAGGCATTTTATGAAATGTTTCTATACCATTCTATTATGGTGCGTTTATGTGAGAAATCATTACTTCTGATTTATAAATGAATCAGCCTTTTTGAGCGAATCAATTGATCCCTTTTTTCAAAGACGCTTCCATTCAGAGTATTTAACTATAATAATTGACTGGGCGACCCCAGATCAATAAAGGGACTAAGCCGAAAAGAAAATGAATGAATGATTAAGGAGATTACACAATATTAACAATTATTGCATGTTTTAACATGACATTTTAATTTATATCATTATTTTAGATCTATATTATATTATATTATATTATATTATATTATATTATATTATATTATATTATATTATATTATATTATATTATATTATATTATATTATATCCATATTATTCTACCCTAATACCCTAATTTATGGTGCATTGGCACATTATTTTGATGGTCCATTTGAGTATTAGTAGACTGTCTGCTTAATATCTGTTACTTAATATACTGCTCCTTCAACAGACATTTGACTGACTATAAGAAACTTTGCAAATATGTCAACTTACACTAACCCTAATCCCAACCCTAACAGTCTACTTATAATCGAATGAGAATTAGTTGACATGTAACTTAAAGTCAACAAAATGGACCATTAAAATAAAGTGTGACTCAATAATTCAGACATTTGATTTAAAAACGGACTAAATAAAAATACTAATATTCTATATCTATATTTTTCCATATTATTCTACAGCTCATCCTCTAATTACAAGGCTACAGTGGTACGGTGAAGTTCGTTTCGGTTCGGTATGCTTTTATGACCGCTTCTACTGTCAAAAGGTACCTAAAAGTGAACCATACCACTTTTTGGGTACCCTTTGCAAAGGGTACCTAGCACAGCAAAAGGGTACCAAAAGGTGAAGCTAGACGCGCAACTGAACGCTATTTTACAGCAATACTTAACTCGCTCGTGAACAAGCTAGAATGAAGACAAAAGAACCGCCATGTTTTAAATACACAGCCAAGACATTACACCATAATAATATATACATATAATAACAAGCTATGGTCGACCCGAGCTTAAACAAACCTTTCGTCATCTTGATGAACAGCCACAAAGCCAGGAAGAAAAGCAACATCTGTCTTGTGCACTGTAATTTTTTTACAAGGCCATCTAAAGTGTGAGCAGTTTAACTTTCTCGTTTGCGCTCGCTGCTCGTCTATTTGAAATAACAAACTTCTTGAGCTGATGATAATAACGTGGGCGTGATTATTGAAGTGCTTCTGACATTTGATCCTTCCAGAAACAAACAAACGCGAGACTTATGTGCGAAAATACAAAGAAGAGGCCGGAACAACAAAGGAGCAAATGATTCTTTCAGCAACCTAAAACAAGAACAAACTGCCATGTTTAACTATTATCATCACCTTCTGGACTATTATGAATTTGGATTGACGGATTTACTTTCTTACAAGAGGTTACTGGTGAAAATTAGAGATACAGATGAGAGGTTTGCACTGAATGTGGGTTATATGTTGAGTTTCATTTCTGAACTCAAATAAGGACTAAATGTATGCTGTGAGTAGTTTTCCTGTAATTGGTAACATATCGGAGGCTGTAAGGGCTGTTCGTGTTTATATACGTTGCATTTATTTATTTATTTTATAAATTGCAGTTGTAGGCTATTTTGCATCACTGATCTGCAGTTATAATCAAATCATGTTCATATAACGTTATACACAAGAATTTATGTGTATAAAGCATCCGTTTTGTGAGAAGTCATTCTCATATGGTGTGACCCATTCACACAGCTTTACTTGACATTTTCTCGAGTGAGAATGTAGTAGACTGAAACTTTATGTCTTACACTACACCCACCAAAAGGGTACCATTGGTACCCTTTTAGCAGTGGAAATGCAAGCCTGATTAAGATGACTAGTACCGACCCGTACCGTACTGTACCACTCAGTGGAAACGGGCCATAAATTACAAAATGATTCAACTCATTGAATCAATTTAGAGTTTTGTATTTAAAAACAGGCTAAATAAAAATATATATACTATTTTATATATATTTATCCATATTATTCTACAGCTCAATTACTGGCATTATTTACAAAATTTGAGATTTCTGAATAAATAATAAGCAAAAAAAAATGTCAGATATTTTCTGTGAATCAGTTTATCTAATTTGCAAAATGATTCAACTCAGGGACTCAGTATTTCAGACTTTGGATTAAAAACAGACTAAATAAAATACATTTTTGTTACGCATGCAGACACTTTTCCTGGCTTTTAAAACTTGTAATATCCGTAGCTTGTACTGTAAGTCATGCATTTTTCTTTTATGATACTTTTATACATTTTAAATATAAAAGAGAAAATGATATGAGTAAATAACAGCATTTTCCATTTATAAGAATGATTCCTTTAAGCACTGACGAGAACGGTGAACATGCACCTCAGATGAAAACCAGTCTACCATGACAAATAAACTGGCACACAGATGCAAACACACACACGTACACACACACTCACACACACGCTTTGATCTGATCTTTGATCAGTGACTGGAAAGGTGTAATGCTTTCTCACATCCTCCAAACCCTGAGCATGACAGATGCTCTAACTTTTGTAATATCAGTAGGAATGTATGTAATTTATGCATTCATCTCACTGTACCTCATCATTCAAAAAGATGACAAACAAAGCACAAAAAAAAAAAAAAAACTAGCGAAGCAGAGCAAAAATGAAATACAAAAGACTGGAGCAAGCGAATTGGAATTGGACAGGAAAAGTCAATAAGAAAAGGAAGAAGATATATAGCAGTACTCTTTCTGAGACATCTAAACACGGTGTTTTTTCAGAACTGTAGATGTACACTCACTGGCCACTTTATTAGGCATAACTGCAGTTAACACACATTTTTAATCAGCCAATCACATGGCAGCTACTCAATGCATTTAGGCATGTGGACATAGTCAAGACGATCTGCTGCAGTTCAAAGCGAGCATCAGAATGGGGAAGAAATGTGATTTGAGTGACTTTGAACATGGCATGATTGCAGGTATCAGACGGTCTGAGTATTTCAGAAACTGCTGATCTACTAGGATTTTCACGCATAACCATCTCTAGGGTTTACAGAGAATGCTCAGAAAAAAAAGAAAATATCCAGTGAGCGGCAGTCCTGTGGGCGCAAATGCCTTGTTGATGGAGAATGACCAAACTGGTTCAAGCTGATAGAAAGGCAGCAGTAAATTAAATAAGAACTCATTACAACCAAGGTATGCAGAAGAGCATCGCTGAATGTGCAACATGTCAAACCTTGAGGCAGATGGGCTATAGCAGCAGAAGACCACACCGGGTGCCACTCCTGTCAGCTAAGAACAGAAAATTGAGGCTACAATTTGCACAGGCCCACCAAAATTGTACAATAGAAGATTGGAAAAACAATGCCGTGTCTGATGAGTCTCAATTTCTGCTGCGACATTCAGATGGTAGGGTCAGAATTTGGCATCAACAACATGAAAGCAAGAATCCATTCTGCCTTGCATAAATGATTCAGGCTGGTGGCAGTGGTGTAATGTGGGTGGTGTGTTGGAGATATTTTCTTGGCACACTTTGGGCCCATTAGTACCAATTGAGCATCATGTCATCGCCACAGCCTACCTAAATATTGTTGCTAACCAGGTCCATCCCTTTATGACCACAGTATACTCATCTTCTGATGGCTACTTCCAGCAGGATAATGCACCATGTCATAAAGTGTGAATCATTTCAGGTTTCTTGAACATGGCAATGAGTTCACTGTTCTCAAATGGCCTCCAAGGTCACCAGAGCTCAATCCAATAGAGCACCTTTGGAATGTGGTGGAATGGGAGATTCGCGTCATGAATGTGCAGCCGACAAATCTGCAGCAAATGCGTGTTTCTAACATATCAATATAGACCAAAATCTCAAAAAAATATTTCCAGTATCTTGTTGAATCTATGTCACAAAGCATTAAAGCAGTTCTGAAGGCAAAAGTGGGTACAACTCGGTACTAGCAACGTGTACCTAATAAAGTTACCAGTAAGTGTATAACTAAACTATGGGTCCTTAGCTTTCTGCCTTGTTTCCAGGCATGGCACCTGATTTGCATACAGTAGTTTGACACATTCAAAATCAGTACCAATTACATTGTGCAAAACCTGGATGATTGTAGTGCTAACAGTTCCCAATTTTGCACTACTGATGTTCACAGATTATTAGTAGACAGTGTGATTTACATGTTCCATGTTGGACCTGGAACAAAAACAATTAGTTTAACTAAGCAGCAGACTGTGAATTATAGGAGGACTTAATTCTGGCTAATATGACATGACAATGATTTACATATTATGGCTGATAAGCTATGAAATAGTAACAAAGTTGACAAAAATTACCAAAACATGTCATATAAAATATGAAAATTAAATACCACAGTACGTGAACATAAAGCAAGTCTTTTGGATGTTAATGAATATGAGGGTGCACAATAAAATATATTTCCTTTTGGGTG